CCCCCCCCCCACCATGCACCAACATTTGCATGCCGTCAAAATTGACATGGGCATCAAGGGTACAAACTTTCAAGTCCTCGTGCGAAATCCCCCGGGGTTCGCCAAGAAAAACCACCGAACATGACTTGCCTATGGACCAAGCAAGTCTCGCCGAACACACAGAACACAAAACAGTTCGAAAATGACACAACGCACGCACTTGTGACTATCAGCAAATGCCTCCCCTTTGAACAAGGACACAGACGGCCCAGCCAGTGGATATCAAAATACGTCATAAATTCGTCCCCTACGGCAATCTGCGGGGCCCCGACTTCGCCTTGAGCCATCTGCGGCCCCAAATGGGTAACAGTTGCGCTTTCCACAAGCACAGAAACAACCAATTCCATCAGTGCAACCACCCACAATCCAAGTGTTCACATCCGGTCCACAGAGGCTCCCTGAACCTGCATCGAGATGAAAATTGCCCGGTGCACCTCTGCGTGGCCCCGACTGGCAAGCTCAGAAAGTGCACCGAGAGGCGTTGGCGCAGGCAGCATCCACAAATCATGAGGAGAAACAATCAAAAACACAACTGATGCTGATAGCACGAAATTCCCCCGCTGGGAGCCTCTCCCTCTCATTCAGCAAGAGACAACAGTCTCTCGTTCTGTAGCAATTGCTGCAATGGAAGCACCTCGAGTTCCGTCGGTACACAGAGGTTTGCTTCTAGCGTATATTAGCGCATCACTTGCCAACCAGCCGCGCGAAAAACTCGCCTGCCAAAGCCGTGCCTGTCAGCAGTGAAAACAAAAACCACACTGGACTACCCCATCGAAATAGAACATTGCACGGTATAAACGCGTGTCGAATGACGGACGACCCGACGTGCCCTGTCGATGATACCTGCATGACCTGCTGCGGGTGACTACCTCACCCTGATGCCAGGCCAGCCCCGCCCTTATTTCTGTACAACAAACACAGCGGAACGACGGCGACGATATCATTCCGTGGACAAACGCCACGTGCAAGAACTATTCTACCGTCCTCTTGCAGGGCTTCCCCCACTTCCCTGCTGAGCAACAACAACGACAACAACAAATCATAACACCAACCACATTATCGCACGATAAATACTGCCCGTCTCTCAGGCCAAGCAAAAACCACTCATTGCGTCGAAATCATCTGAACGAAGTGCGGGTATCCGACCTGCAGCGCCCCCCTGAGCGAAAGCAGGGCCACCAAGGGCTTCCCCTTGCTCCCCAAGAACGCCTCTATGCTTGTCATTTTCCCCTCCACGCAGAACGTGGTCCAGTTCTTCGGGTACGTCTCCGGCATCTCGGGAAAGCTCACCGACACCTCTTTTTGCATGTTGAGTAGTCGATGCGGTGGGAGGGGGGCGAGGGTCACACGGGCTGGATGATGATCGCGCCGGCTTTCGGGAAATGCTGCGCCTCATCACAGAGTTGCAGGATAAACATTCGCGGGGGTTACGCGACGTGTAGACAGCAGGCAGGTTTGGGCATGTTGTTTTGTTTCAACATTCAATGACTAAGAGGTCGTATACCTGTGTATGTTGTACCGTAGATGGCACAAACATCAAGATTCCACACACATTTGACCTTTTTAAAGCTCAAATACTCAGCAACAAGAATATTTTGACCGTGATGATGGTACCGTAGATTAGCAGAGACCAACACATCATCGTCAGGATGAGACCGCAACGACAACATACCTACACACACCTGTGACTTCAAAGCTCGCCTTCCCCTCCCTGGTTGTCACCGTCGTCTTCCGCACCGACTTCTTCACGGTAACCTCTAAGGGCGTGCTCATTAACGCCTCCAGTCCTTCGGACACCGCGCCCTCACCCTTCCCCGCCTGCTTACGGAGATGCTCGATGACCTCAGTCGGAGTCGCGCCGTCTCCGAGCTTGATCTTTCCAGCGGGGGTCCCGTGTGCAACAACAGACGACGAAAACAGTAAACAATAGGCAGAAGGAGAGATCATAAGTTTGATAGGGATCGTTTGGCATTGAAGAGGAAGCAGCAAAGCGAGAGCGAGAAAAATGGAAGACTTAGAGGTGGGAGTTACACCGGCAACATCTGCCAGTGCTCGTTCACGAACGCGGGCTGGGGTAGAATGGTGCTCTGTAACTTGTCATTTCTTGTGGTTGACAACGAGCGGACCAAGAGAGCAAGATGGAGAGGCGAAGCATGTGTATTCTGAACGCTCGGCGCAGATTTTCTCCCAGTGTGACCTCTTTCGTCTTTTTCTTCATGCTACTCGCAGGGGATATATTGAGAGAGAAAGCACAGTGACCTCATTGCAGTTGTTGTTCGGCTCGATGGACGGAGGTTAGAAATAGGTGTGGCTGGTGTTTGGCTTGTAGTTAACATACACATCACGATATTCTCCTGAATCGGTGATACGTGACCAATCCAAATATGGCACTGGCGAAGCAAGAACAGCAGTAGCACCAGCGGCAACATGAACCAAAACATCGGCAACCGCAACCACACCACCACCAGCAACAAATACAACAACAAAACATCATCAGCAACAAGAGCAACAGTATGCAGTAGCAACAACCGTGGAATCTAGCGCAAAAAAACCCGAGAGCAATGACAAAGCGTGGGTGCTACAACCAACGTTTCAAAGATGAGCATTTCTGGTGCTCCATGTAAGCTTTAATAGTACTCCGTGGGAAAAACAGGCAGTTCTTCAGCTAAACGCTTGAACCATCTTCATGGTGGTCAACACCAAATAGAGGCACACAGGGGAGGAAGCACAGGTACACGCTTTGGCGATGGTGGCAGCAAGCAGTCTACACGGAGACAGCTGTAGCGACATCGGCACCACAACAAAGACGTACCTTCTGGAAAGTTTCAGCTGCCCCAGGACCAACCCCACCGCCCAACGTCTGCCGCTGCTTCAATGCTTTGAACTCTAGCCCTCCGCCTCCCTGTTGTTGTTGTTGTTGTTGTTGTTGATGGTGAAATTGCGAAGCGAACGTGTCCGAGAGCAACGAAGTCCGTCGACGGTACTAGAGTTCACGGCGTTGTGCCCGTATGTCCATCGAGAACGCCTCTGGTCGTGATAACACCCCCCCCCACAGAGCAAGCACCGCGGGCGTAGGCCCCACTTTGACTACACTATCGTGCTGCTGCTAGTGTCGATATTTTCATTCCAAGTGGGTCAAAATTGCATTCCGCATTATAGTCTTGAATTGAAGGATGAGTCCACACAGGGAGGAATGCTGCTGCCGCCTCGAAGCGATGACAATGCTTTCTTGATGCTCGTGAACCATCAACCATCAACTGCTGGTAGTCCTTTCGGTCCCCGAATCCACGCCTTTTTGCACCCGAAACATTGTAGCGGCCCCTATTTCCGAAGATGCAAATATGGTAACACAGAGGACTTTGTGCTCGCTTTGCTCCCGGACACGTTCCTGTGTTCACATTCAAGAGAAATCGGCAAATAAGTCTACTTGGAACTTGTTTGAAAACACACACGGAATGTCGGTGGCCCTCCGACCCTGAATTTTTGGGAAACAACGTAAGAGTCTAAGGCTTGTAGATATGCATCCGGCGCCAGCCATGAAAGCCACACCCGCGGCACTCTTTTTAGTACAGAAGCGAGAGCGGCACAGATACGCAGTAGCAGTGTACCGTAGCTGGCACTAGCTCATTCGCACTGCTGTGCGTGCAACAGGAAGACTGCATAAAGCAGAGGACGCTCTGCACGTACATGCACGTTTCTGAGGCGTTATTCTGGCGGTTGCCACTCCAAATGCGCGGACATTATCAAAAGCCTGTACTGCTGTGGAAATATTCATGGATGGTCCGTGCAAGACTGCTGCTGTACCAGTCTTCAACGTTATCCCGATTTTTTACATCTAAACCGCTGTTCTACAGCAGTACTTGTAGTCTACATGCTGTAGCCTCCAGGTGGCTGCTGTACGCGTGTGTGTATGCCATGCGCCACAGATGACGGGAATACCGGTATTCGCCAGAAACCCCCGGGCTTGAATATCTAGCTACAGTATCCCTTGCGCTCCGCACATCGAAGACCTTACCTGCACCAACGGTACGCGTGTCTAATGCTCTAGACTACAGCAGAGAGTACTGGAGTTTGAGTACATTTCTAAACATGTACTTCCAAGAGGTGTGAGAAAAAAAGCCCGGGCCGCGAGTAATTTCCGCTCACGTCTGGAGCCAAAATGATCAATGTTGTCCATCCCCACAGCGCGTCAGGCTGCACGCTCTCACCCTGTCTCTTGACCTCAACTTGCCATGCTTGAGTCACACTGCCATCGCAAACCTCTACACGCTTACCCTTCGCTTGACACCAACATCTGCATCTGCCTTGATGTACACGTCTGTTCGCGCATCGGGATCGACGTGATCGACCAAGGAGCTCATCTCCCGTGCTTCCGCGGGCACTCGGTGGAAGTCTACGGTGGGGACGAAGAGCCTCCACTCGGCTTTTGGCGCCATGGTACGCTAGTTATCCCGAGGTGGTCGTGTTCTACCGTGGGGTTGTTGTTTCGCGGGCGGGCATGACTAGCTAGGCGTGACTAGCGACGCACGACGCGGAGCAATCATCACAACAATCAGCGGCGCTTCTATTTTCCGTACGAACCCCCCTACTCTCTGGCATCATCCTGTTCGCGTCTCCCCATATCTTGATCTACAGCAGTNTGCTTCCATCTGCATGTAGTGCTGCTCTGCCGACCTCTGGCGGTGCCCCCGTTATTGGCGCGGCCGGAGCTTTTCCTATCTACCCTCTCCAAGCCCACCCCGTACAGCAACAACAGCAGCCGATACTGACCTCCAGCCCTCCGCCGGAAACGCAGGTGATACGTGTTGGTGTTTGTCACGTGCTGTTGGCGTAACACCCTCTCTCTCTTCGCGTGCTTTGCTTTGCTTGTGTTGCTGTTGCTGTTCCCCCATGGCCCGCATGCCAATAGTACCGGTACGTGGCATTCACCCCGTCCACATCAAGGCGCCCTGTACAGGCCTTCCCGTTGTTTCCGCGGGTGTAGCATGCCAATGGGTCTTTCCTGCTGTGCCATGCCTGGTGCAATTGAACGCGTGCACGTAGGGTTCGCTGTTGACGTATGCTTTTACGTATTCTTCACCAGGTGACGGCGAAACGTGTCATATGTTTTTTCTTATAATCAACAAATGATACGGTTTTCTGCCCCTCCGCCGTGTGGTGGGTTTCGCGTGCGAGTGACAGGCCATGCTTCCACCTGGTACTGCTCTACCGTTGGGGACTCCGGTCCCAGGCTGTGCTTCCGGTGCTTCCGGTGCTTCCGTTGCTGGCGGCCGGAGCTTTTGCCGGCTACCTTGTCCAAGCCCACCCCGGACAGCAACAACAGCAGCCGATGTTTACCACCAGCCCTCCGCCGGAGACGCAGGTGACAATGCGCGTGGTGTTGCAATCTGACGAACGACGGGGAGGCCGCCATGGCATGGGCCAACGACGATGCATGTTTTGTTTGGCCGCGGTGTTACGTGCCGGTGTATTCGCCTGCTCAGTGCTTTTGTGCAGTGATCCACTTCGGGTATTTGTGTGCTCGGTGCCCCACTGCTGTAGAATCCTCCAAACAAACCCCGAACCACGTGCCGTTGTCTAACCCGTCGTATTGTGGCTTGAACACTAGGTGTACGACCCGGCTGTGTTAAAGACGAAGCTGGAGGCAGTGCAGACGGAGGGAAAGATACTTGAAGACGTGGTGGAGGAGGTGGTGAGAACGTGCGCCATCGAAGGGGTTGTCCTTTCTACCGCGAAGTCGACGAGGTGTCGCGACGGCGGAACGGATCGTGTGGACATGAAGAAGCTGATTTGTACTCGAGGCGGGGGTAGCCGGCAACTGGAGCACGAAGCCAGGCTTGACACCGGTAAGCGTTTCATCCATGGCACTTGGCCTTGGTAGGAAAACCNTCCTTTCTACCGCGAAGTCGACGAGGTGTCGCGACGGCGGAACGGATCGTATGGACATGAAGCTGATTTGTACTCGAGGCGGGGGTAGCCGGCAACTGGAGCACGAAGCCAGGCTTGACACCGGTAAGCGTTTCATCCATGGCACTTGGGCTTGGTAGGAAAACGATTGAGGCGACGACAACGGGGCGAGTCGCGGGCAAGCCTGTTGTAAGCATGCATGCTTCGGTGCAGGTTCATACATGACACACTGCCTTCACTTCGTCTCCCATATCGCCGCGTGTTGCAGAACCTGGGGTAATACGGCGGAACAGGAAAGGAAGCGCGAGGACTGGTTGTCAGTTTGAGGTAGGTGCTGGTCTCCCACGGAACATGTTTTTTTGCAGTGGACCGAGAAATGTCCCAACAGATTGCGGAGGTATTCGAGCGCGAGATGATTTGAAAAGGATTTCCGAAGTGCGGATTTGAAAATGGAGGGGGTCGGTCGGGTGTCTTGTGATCCACGTTGTAATCCATTTCACGCCTTTATCCCACGAATCCATCCTTTAGTTATTTCTCCCCTCTCCTTTTTTGTGGACCCACCCTTCCGTTCATTCAGGTTAGCGTCCGGCACGCGAAGTCCCACCCTCGGCCCAAGATTACCAACATGAAGCTCGGGCACAACCACGTAGTCGACCGCCAGGCTATGGCCGTGAAGCTCCGCCTCGCCGGAAAGCTAACGGAGGAGCAGCGGGGACAAGTGGAGAAGATGACAAGTGAGGAGATTGAACGCGTTGGGGTAGGTCTAAAGTAGCTCCCGTCGTGCCCCTCGGCTTGTCGTGGTCGGTTGTCACGATATCGAATGACGAACAGCCCTTGAAGCGTAGTGCTGTTGTCACCTTCACGTTGCTAGCGGGCGTTCGCTGACACACGAGTTGATTTTTGCTCCCGGTTCTCCCATACGGCGCAGGTAAGGGGATGAAGCCCAAAGCTGTGCATGAAGCAATCCAGGCGTTACACGAGGACAGCGACATCGAGATCAACAGGCGCGCGGTGCAGAACGTGGCTGCCAGTGTGCATGGGGCGGAGAAGCCGAGGGATGCTGCCGATGCATACGAAGAGGTATGTCCATGTTCCCGTTGAGACTGTTGCCTCTCGTGTGTGGGATGTTTTTTGTTGCTCAGGGCGGTATCCGGGCGACCATACACGCACTATCCCTTGTGGCACTCGGGCGAATATGTGCCGTGACACCAAACCAAGAAATATTGTTCGTTTATTGTCGGCGCCCTCGACATTTCCGGGCGCTTGGCATGTTGTGTGTTGTTATAATCACAATGCAATTCCAGGTCATGGCCGTCACTGCCGACGGCGGAGTGTGCGAGATCAAGATGGATGACAGCGGCCGCCTGACGCATATCTGGTGGCAAACGAGAGAGCAGGTACGTCGCCGGTCGTCGTGCCCCGCACGAATACTCCCCTGCGGGAAAAGGTTTGCTTTCATTTTGTCATCGTGTCGCACGTACCACTTGGCCGTCCGCAAATGCAGAACGTATGACTGAGAGCAGGACGTAGGCAAGGGTGCGGGTGTGCGGGTGCGTTGTGATGCGTCGAACACACGTCACACCCACGATGTAGTGCTCTCGACCCACTTCGACGTCATGCTCCGAATACGCAGGTGGCGCTTTGGAATCGGTACGGTCACGTTACGCTGTAAGACGACACCGTCAAGAACAGGTACCGCATGCCCCTCGGCGTGCTCGCCGTCATCGATTCGGAGTATCGGACGCGAATCGTCGGCCAAAGCATAACGGCGGACACCACAACGAACACTTTCGTGTGGATGTTGAAGAGTGCGTTGAGGTCTCGCGGAGGGAAGCAGCCAGATATCTTCATCCAGGACGCGGAGGTGGCCATGACGGCGGCGGTGCGCGAGGTGTTCCCGGACGCGCTGGCGAGGCGCTGCTTATGGCGCCTCTACCAACACATCATGAAGGCCCTCGCTAAAGACCTTGGCGGGCAGATGAAGGTATGCTCTACCGTGTGTGTTGGCATGGTTAGTCTGGCCTCTCCTGGTCTCCTGATCGCGCGACGTACACTGCACACTCTAGCCCCCCCCACACACACACTACCACTTGTATCTCCTGTCCTAACCCCTGTGCAAGTTCGTACGTTGTCATGGGTCAGTGGTGTTGCCGTCTACTTGGAAGAGTGACTTCCAGCGTCCTTGCGTACAATAGGCGCGTCCCGTGCCCACAGAAAAAGCAGCACCAGCAGCACCAGCAGCAGGTCGTAAGCACAAATGGTCTGTCGCTGACCTTTTTCAACCCCGTGTCCCTTTTGCTTCTCGTCTCATCTCACCTTAGCGCTAGAGGAATACACGGGGTTGGTGTTGGCAGTCAATCGTACAGGCCGGTAGCTCATGCGCCGAGGCCCAAACTCACGCAACACCCACCTCGCCTGCTTCCTTCCGGGGACGGTCTGCCTGCTCGTGCTTTGCCCAGGCGTTCATGGACGAGTTCAGGTGTGTGCGTCAGCAGCTGTCACTGGCGAAGTTCGAAAGGAA